GTAAACCACAATGATATGGAAGCCTCCCAATCAAATGATTACTCCTGCAGGCTTTTTTAGCTGAACCCACACAAGTTCATTCACTTTACAATATGCCTGATCAAATGTTACGAATATGTGCTGTTGTTCCAGGTGTCCTGCAACTGATTTACATTGCATGATGACAGTCCAAGTGGTGTCATACTCAGCTGCTGGTGCAGACAGTATAGGACAAAAATGAACAATCAATGGTGGTGAAATATCAGAAAGAAACTAGTTAAAAGTTGTCTGCCCTAGTATGGCAACATTCTCCCGGTTGTCAGGAGATATTCTACCCAGTATGCATGGTAGCTCTGCTTTCATCTGTTGAACAGCTGTGTTGTAGAGCTTCTCGTTGTGTTACTACCTGTACTATGGATGGGTGATTTCAATGATTTGTTATGGGTCATCATCACTGGAATGACTTTGTTAAATTCAAGTGGTACATCTTTCAAGGTTATTTTCCTTCCTATTCCATTAATGATTTATTCAGTCTCAAATGGTTCGCTTTGAAATGCTACAATTTGTGGTTCATTAAATGTTTGTTTTCCATCCAGTGTCTCCTCCAAGATGTCACTGTTGTTTGAAGAAAACTGAACAAAATAATTAGGAATGAGAGTCCTTGGGATAACAACTCTATTATCCTAAAATTCCTTTAAGTTTTTCTCAGCAATGGTGGCTTTGATGCGACAAACTGTTTCATACAGTATGCTGGATCCAGCAGCATGGAGACTTTGTACCAGCTTCTTAGATCTAGTTGTGTGATATATCAGCAAGGCTAACCTAATATTTTTTGGCATTAGCTTGTTGCCCCTTGATTGCAGGTAAACCAAATCCTGACATATATTCAGTACATCTCTGTCTAGATTCTTATCTTGTGCATGACTTTCAACATCTAAGCCATCGTTGTCCTCTTCCAAAATCAAACAGATCGATGTGTAAATGCTATCAGGAACACATTTTTGGGCTTGTTCTTCATTCAAGTTTCTGTATCCCTTCATGCTGGCTATAATTGTCAAATCTGCTTTGATCTTGAGAGCAACATAATGCAAGGTTCTTGTGTACAAAAACTCTTCTCTGAACTGAAAACCAATTGCTTCCTCATCATTTAGATCAAAATTACAACTGCTTGTACATCTTTACCAATGGTCACAGTTTGGAAGGCAGGGAGCGGAAGATTTGTATTTCTTTGGCGCTGAACATGAATGTCTGTCTTGTAGTAAGTCTGAAGTTCTTGCTTCATTTGCTTCAGTGTGATCAGAGGACATGTGCTGCCTTCATCATCTACTAAATTGCAATATCTTTCAAGTATATCTTTCAGGCTGTACACATTTTTCCATGCAAAACTAATAGTTCATCAATCATTTGATGCAATGCTCTCCCTTTAGGAGAAAGAAGTATCTTCTTGCACAATCTCCAAATGCAAATGGAAACAAGAGACTTGTTGCTTCTGTGGTTCGTCCTGCCTACATTCAGGATGGTAATGTGCCTCAGCAGCTATTAGGACTTTGACATCAATTCAGCAATGCAACACTTCATTCTTCTCTGCCAGCTTGTGTATTGCATGGACTGATTCAAATTACAACACTTGACTCAGTCTCTTCTTATTGAAATGTCTCTGGCAGAATATTCACATCCTCGGGTGAACTGCTGGAGTAGATAATCTGCTTAATGTCGGAATGTGTTCTTCTCTTGATGTTGTTGGTAATGTTTCCCTTTCATCTTCTACCTTGCATGACTTTCTTAACAGTCTCTCAATATGTCATTTGTGTGTAAAAGAACTGTAACAAGAATGGTGCCAACTGAGGCTTTTGGAATGTTGGAGCACAGGATCAACACAATGTGATAGTCTCTGAAGTATACTGCCAAAGCAAGTGTTGAATTCAACAACTGTCCTATGTTAAATGAGTGCTTTGTTTGTTTGCACAATTGTAGCAGTTGTAATTTGGCTTGGCATTGATGATGATTACTAACCTTCTTTGAAACATGATGCATCCTGTACATTCCGAGTCATATCTCCCATATTTCACTGATGCTATCAACTCCATTGTAATATTTGCTTAAGGGCGCATCTCTTGTCAACAATATTCATTAGAAGTTTTCATCTCATGGTAATTTACAACAGAACAGAGTTGATGTAGCAAGTTTGCAAACCTTTTGGGTATCTTATAATGAACACAACTCTAAATTTGCAGCAGCTATCCTGGACTCCAGTATGGCGACTATGCCAGAAAGTATCTGCTTGATTCATATAACGTTGGTTTCATCACTGGAATTAATTTTCTAACTGTAGTGGGAGGCTGAAATATTGACTAAATGTGAATTCACAGCAGCTATCTTAGATTCCAGTATGGTGGCTACACGTACTACTTGCCAGACTGACAACATGACTTTTCAACATGACCTGCTAAGGCCTTAGTATGTAACTGATACTCAGGTGCCATAAGAGAACAATTGGCCTAACCCTATGCATCTTTCTCTGATACCCATTGGAGCATTCTAATAACAATATGTGTGGGAAAGGGGAATGATGGAGTCAGGAGCAAGGACAGAGTGGAAAAAGAAGGAAGTGCTCTAGATAGGGAGAGCAAGGAAAATTAGAACTAGGAGGCAAGGATAGGAGTCAAGTAGGAAAAAAGTGGAATAGAAAACTGACAGGAATGGAAGAACAGCCAAGGGAGATGCAGAAAGATCTGGGTCTCAAGAATTTAATTTCTCTGTTAAATCAAGTGGGTTTTTTTCAGTGTTTGTATTATTAATTAGTTGATTCACTTGATTTTATTATCTTCTGCCTTTGCACATAAAAACCTTTGTAAGGGAATAGTGGGGGAAAAATTAACATATGCTATTAGATTTGAGGAGAGAAGTTGTTTTAATACAGAGAAAAGGCTGTTATAAACTTTAATATTGAATAAAGATTAAAGAAAATGTTTTATTGTTGACCCAGCCTTGTCAGCTAGTATTAAGGAACTTGGAAAGAGCCATGCTCCCTTTTCCTTTCATCTGTACCTATTTTAAAGGAGGTTGCTTCTGGTAATATTTATGCCATATAGTATAAAGCCTTTAAAAGAAAGAAGGCATAATAAAATATTGTAGAAATTAGACAGGTTCACTAATCTGATTATCTGACACAGGTATATTGGTTCAAGTGATGTATACTGAAGTTATAATCCTACTGTACAGTTTCAGTACAGTAAAAGTATCCATTTTACCATTTCCAGTACTTCTGTATTTTGGCGAGGTTATAATTTTAACTTGTCCTAACCTTTTTTGAAATGGTCTGGTGTGGCTCAGTTAACTTCCGTGAGCATTATCATTTCTGCTTTTTATTTTTTTGGAATAAAAGTCCATGTGCCCACCCAGTAGGGAACAATGGGAAAGTCACAGCAGAGGCTGTCAAATTTATCATGGTCAAAGGGCATAGAATTGGACATGTTGCTTCTAATTTAGCAGTAGGACGCTGCTTCTAATTTAGCAGTAGAAGCAGGAAATAGAAGGAAGGTTAGATGGTTAGACTTTCAACCTCATATGAGGCTGTCACTTTAGACTACGATTTGCTATGTCACATAAGCTGGGCGGCAGGAGATTTCCAAGAAAAACCAATTGTATTCTCAATTCTCAATTCTTGATTCATGAAGTGGTATTTCCAAGTCAGTAACTTATATTCTTTTGAGTTTGAATTGAACAAGAATACAAAATGGAAGTAGAGGATGATGATAATGAAGAGGTTTGAGCTCTCTCTTAACTATTTCCTATTATTTATCACCATGATATCTAAGTATCATCTACTTTAGGGATGGGCAATTATTTCAACTGGAGGGCTCCTTAACAAGTTTTGGTGAGCTGTCAAGGGCCACATGAGTAGCCCCACCTCTTGGCAATTGCCCTAGTCATCATATTGGGACCAAAAGTCGCTCCCTCTAACCCCTGGCCTTTACCACCAGAAGTCCCTACTGCTGGCTGGGCCCTTCTGCCCATGAGGGTGGGAATGAGGCACAATAGGGTATGTTGAGAGGGGGTGCATATGTGTGGGTGCCTCACTCCCACCCTCACAGACAGAAGGGCTGGGCAGGGCACAATTCATTGGTGGGTGCCCACAGTCTGGACGAAAGTGCCTGGTGGGCCAGATTTGGCTCGTGAGCCGTATTTTGCCTACCCCGATCTACTTCCTCTGGCTACTGTTGGGCATTAAAATAAACTATGGTACTTTTGAAAGTTTGCTGTTGGAACTTTTTTATATCCAGCATTTTGACTTGTGTAGTTATGTGCTACTGCTTAATCTTCCTAGAGCTCCTGACAATTACGGAACGATGCTACTAGCAAATTGCTCATATATTTTACCACTCTAGCATCACAAAACAAGGTGGATTTCTAGGGCATGTGTCATATCTGTCTTCTGTATACATTTAATGAATAAAACACTGGCTTTTTTTTTTTAGATTAAAGTCAATACATATTTCAAAAAATGAATCCAGGCCAACTAGAATATAAGATATATCAGAAGGGCTCTTCAATTCAATTTCTTATAACCATGTTAATGTAGTCATATTTTCATGCAAAGTAGGTAACATTTAAATATTGCTTGAAATTTTAAATATAAAAAATATAAAAAATAAAAGAACTTACAGAAAACATCTTACTCATTTTATGGTTTATGTTTATTTTTTTAGAATAAGAAAAAATATTTTTAGGTTTTGTGACTTTTACTTAATTGACACATTGCTAAGCCATCTTAAGTTTAGTGATTATATACATAAAGCTATACTAGACCAAAATACATAAACAGTAATAGAGAAATGTATTTACTCTGTCTTCTGAAACTGTATATTTATGGTCCCTCTTTTTTTGGCTTTTCTCTTGGTTTGTAAAGTTGAAAACAACCATGTAATAAGTTCTAAAAATCAGGCAAAGCTTGAGAATATTGGGTAGTTTCTGAAAACTGTTATAACTTCCTTTATGGTATGTATTTGTTCTTACTGCAGATCTAATGCATTTGAAGTGCTGGCACTTGATGGAGTTAGTACTGGAATACTTCAGTTTTATACAGCCCAGGAGAGTGCTGACTGGCTGAGAGCAATATCAACAAACATCAGTGATTTGACACTTCAAAATGTATGTTACTTTCTGCATATTTTCCTGCCTTCTTTACAAAATATATTTTTTAAAGTTTTCAACTGCAGTATATAACTAACACAGAGATACAGTGTGTAAAAGTAATGTGTGGGAAAGAAAGAAAAGGATATTCTAATAATTTACAATTTTTCCTAGGGCCGCAAAGAAAATACAGACTTTTGATGAGACAAAGAATAACTGAATCTCATTATATTTAAAACGTTTGTAAGATCAATTAATGGGAGTTTTTCCATTCACCTCACCTCACTGGCCCCTTTGAGGCCAGAATTTAGTCTTTAAAATTCTTATTAAAATATGATTGAAACACAGTGTCAAAAATGTTTTTGGCATTTGTTTTTGGAGTGTGAAAGGAGGAATTTGTATCTCCATAAGATTGGTTGCGCAACATAGGATTGGTTGACATCCAGTTTCTCCACTATTATAAATACTTAAGAAGGTGCAGCATGACCAGTTCAACCAAAAAATGCTTATATTGTTATAAATTATTCCTGTAAATGTAAAAGTGAAAATTTGTTTGTTGCAAATGCAGGCGTAAAATAATCCCTGGTGGAACAGGAAATTATTACTTGAACAATAGGTTATATATGATAAAGTACAGCTGGAAAGTAATGAAAATACTGAAATAAAAGCTCATAAGGTGAAATAGGCAACTTGATAAAATACAGGATTGCAAATGTATTGCAGTTTTTTATGACTTGGAAGAAATGAATGAGGAAAAAATATGCAGGCTCAATGTCCCCTGGAAGAATTACACGTACAGTTTTTTAATCTTTTCTCTGTTGCATGTAGATGTGTTTTCAATCCTCAGTATGTTATATAAATCATGATTTTACCAATATGTAATCCTATATTGTATTTCACTCTCTAGATTAATAATTCTTTAGTTTTAAATGTGTATCTTTTTTTTTATAAGTTTAAATATGCAACATTATTTAAACTAAACTTTAACTGTTACATGAATTAGAACTGAGCAAAACTATTCATTATCAGGATGTATTAACCATAGTGAGGTAGCATCTGGAGGTCCTAGTCAGGAATTTTGCCTACATTGAATAGCCCTATTCATGTGGGAATTAAGAGAGAGAATCTGTATCCCAAGGAGTTTATAAACAACAGTTGGCATGGGCTAAAAAACACATTGAGAGGCAGGTGATGTAACACATGAGAGCTAGGATTTTGACAATAAGTCCAAAGTATTTGCCTAATGTTCTTAACCAAAGTCTTCACAAAGTGAGAATTGCAGGTGTCTATACTCAAGCTCCGGGGTGGGGCGTAGGGAGTGTTTTAATTAGAGTGGCGCTAATTAAACACTTCAGCATTGCATGTATTCAGCATCCTGCATTTCAAAATGGTGGCAGGGGCACTTTAAACCTTGTTCAGTGAGTTTTATTTAAAGTGTCCCGCTGCCATTTTGATAGTTTCATAGTTGGTAGGGTTGGAAGGGACCTGAGCAGATCATCAAGTCCGACACCCTGCCATGGCAGGAAAGAGTACTGGGGCCAAACAATCCCAGCAAGGTGTTCGTCTAACCTCCTCTTAAAGACCCGCAGGGTAGAAGCCAGCACCACTTCGCTTGGAAGTTGGTTCCAGATCCTAGCCGCCCTGACTGTGAAGTAGCGCCTCCTGATGTCTAGTCTGAATCTGCCCTCTGCCAGCTTGTGACCATTATTTCTAGTCACTCCTGGTAGTGCTCGGGGGAACAGGGACTCCCCCAATGCCTGCTGGTGCCCTCTGACTAGTTTGTAACAGGCCACTAGATCCCCCCTCAACCTTCACTTCTGGAGGCTGAACAGGTTCAGGTCCCTTAGCCTCTCGTTGTAGGGCCTGCCCTGCTGGCCCCTGATCATGCAGGTGGCCCTCCTCTGGACCTTCTCAATTCTGTCCACATCCCTCCTGAAGTGCAGCACCCAGAACTGGACACAGTACTCCAGCTGCGGCCTGACCAGTGCCGCATAGAGGGGGAGGATCACCTCCTTGGACCTGCTTGAGATGCATCTGTGGATGCATGACGAGGTGTGGTTGACCTTCCTGACCGCGCCCCCACACTGTCAGCCCATGTTCATTTTGGCATCAATAATGATTCCAAGATCCTTTTCTGCCTCTGCACTGACAAGAAGGGAGTTCCCCAGCCTATAGGTATGCTGCTGGTTCTTCCTCCCCAGGTGCAGCACCTTGCACTTGTCAGTGTTGAAACTTGGGACACTAAATACAGTGAGGCATGCTGGAGCCTTCTAATGAGTCCAGCGTTTCAGATTAATTGAGTCGTCTTTGACATGTTCTAATTAGAATTCATTGGAGCAAGTATAGAGGCACCCATTTTTTTTCATATTCCACTTTGACAGTGTCGCAGGGCACCTCAGTGCCTTGTTCATAAGGAATGAAAACTGCCAGGGAGAGAGAGCTCTGGCAGAACATAATGAGCACAGCTGCGGGTTGCTGGGGCAACTAATGGGAGTCAGCTGGCTGGAAGGGGGCAGGGCCTGGCCCTTATAAAGCCCAGGGCTGAGGCCAGGCTAGCAGTTCCCTGCCAGCAGCCAGATAGCCAGGAGCTCCTGGAGGAGAGATGTGAGAAGTAACCGCAGGTACTGCGTGAGAGTCAGCTCCAAGATGTTGGAGCAGTGTGGTTGTAGCCAGGCGGCTTATAGTTATGTTGCAGCCTAGGGGCTTGTGTTCCATTTTGTTTATTAAACCGGTGGTTTGGGTGAGGCTATTAGGGGTTGGAGGAGGCCTCATAGGGACCCACAGGGGTGGGGGCCCTAGCGCCAGTGAGGGCGCAGTATCCTCAGGGGTAACCCACAGCAGTGTGTGGGGGCCCCGGCGCCCAGGAGGGCGCAGCATACAGGGTGTATAGACCCCAGCCCTAGGGAAGGGCATTCTGGCGAAGCCCTAGCATGGGCGGGGCGAGCTCCCAGGAAGGAGGCCATTTTGTAAGCCCAAGTTGGGCACAGCAAGCCAGGCGCCAGTGAGGGCGCAGTTTACGGGGGTGTAGACCCCAGCCCCAGAGAGGGGCGATTGAGCCCAAGTTGGGCATAGTGAGCCCCGGAAAGGGGGCAGCATAGTGAGCCCCGGAAAGGGGGCAGAACGAAGGTAACAGCAATTACATCTGCGAGGCTTGGGCTGCGGTATTGGGGAGGAAGGAGCCACAGATAGCACCCCCTGGCATTGGGGCAGTACAATGGCAGGCTCCCCCTAGTTAATTAATTAACATCAAGACGTGGCAGGCGAGAAGGCGGGCGGTTGCCGCAGGAACAGGTGAGCGTGCCGCAGCTTGGCCCGGCTCAGAAACGATGCCTGTTACAGACAGATGTTTTTTGAAAAACAATTAAGCCTAACATTGACCTTGCAACAGGAAGGCAGGGGCTCCTGTTACTTTCAGAGGAGAAAGCACCAGGTTAGTGTGTTCTGAGGCAGACAGCTGAATTAGGGTCAGCTGCATTTTGGATAAACAGATAGTAGAAAGCTCACAGAAGCAAGGACCCAAGGCCTTGAGGCATGAGGCTTCTAGATAACTATGGAGGACTGCAAGGCAGAGCAGTCCAGTCAGCATGTTAGGCTGAACAGAAACTCCTGGGGCCCTTTTCAAAGGCAGCAGTTCGGGGACCAGAAGGGGCAAGGCGTGGCTATATATAAGCCCAACCTCTGGGCTGGGGCTGGCAGCTTGTGCCTGCAGGCTGCAAGAGATCAAGCCAGGACAGAGTTGGCTGCTAGGGAAAAGGAGGTACCCTGTGAGCTGGCAAATTAAGTCAGGTACTTATGGGAGGAACATGGCAACTCTTATAGCCCTGAGGAGGTTGAATTGGTTGCAACCAGATTGCTAACACCCGGTTCCAGGTACTTTTTCTGTGTTTCAGTTTAAACACCAGAGGAATGGGGGTAGGGTGGAGGTCACAGGGATGCCTATGGGGCACCCAGCATAGAGCCCTATAAGAGTCAGGGACCCCAGGGTAGTGTAAAGCAAGAGCAGACTTGTCAGGGTTAAGCTATGGCCCAGAAGCCCAGGGTTTATGGTAATGGTCTTTGGGCTGAGGGGACTCCGCCAGAGGAAAGGGGCCAAAGCCAGGAATTCTGAAGCTTGTACAACGGTTTTGGTTTCTTAGGGGTTCAGTGTCAGTATGGGGTGAGGAGGCCCCCTCCAAGTGGCAAATGAGCCACGTTTACAAAGAATGGATATGGCTATGGGAGCAGCTAGAGGCCATGATTATACTAAGTCATAACTAAGGTCATCTTAAAAGGGAATTAAACCCCATAAAGTTTGAATCAGAAGAGCCCCAATGATTGGGGTTTGGAAGCAGAGGAGGTCTAAGGGCTAAACAAGGAATAAAGACACTATGTGAAGAGGCTACTCTGTGCTCTGGAGGCAACCTCCCCAGTAAAATATCATAAGATCAAGCCTTGGTAGGCAAGAGATTAGAGATGAGTGAAATTGCAGAATGAGAGCAGGTGAGTCTGACCACTAGGGGGTGTCAGATGCAAAGCCTATCATAGACCAATAAAGAGAGTTTTGTAAATATTTACTTTCCATTTAAAAAATCATTTCAAGATCATTTAATTCTTACAATATGTTTTTTCTTCTTGATGAGTCCATTGCCTAAACTATATAAAGTGGATGTGTCCCTCTTCCTGTTCCTGAATTATTTATGAATTCACATAAGTGCTCGGCAAATTAGTTCTGTGACTAATAATAATAATAATAATTATCATCATCATTATTGCTATCATGTCTCTGAGAACTAATATGAAAATTCACAGTACTTTTGCTTTCCACAAACATTCATATGAATAAAATTCACTCATCTGGTTATAAGTAAGAAAGAGACATTAACAAGAATTGTAACTACAGACAAACAAAACAAAACAAGTTTTTTTAATGATGGGATTCTGGTCTAGGCCTTTGACAGCTCAGTGCCTATGACTGTGTAATGCTTTTCTCTTCACCACTGAGTTTTGTCCTACATATGACAATATTATATCCCATCTACCAAGTGCATGTGGGTTTGTCTCAATTTTTTCTCCTATTCATCATCATCATCATCATCAGGGATCCAGGTTTTCCATTCCTTTTGGAAAAAAAATGACTATGATGACCAGGGATCCTGGTTTTCTCTATTTAAAAATCCCAAATTCTCTGATTAACCCCCCACCCCCACAATTAAAATGAAACACCACTATATACTTCATAATTCACAAACCTAGTCCCACTGTAATTTCAGTAGGCACTGCTATTTCTGGGTCTACCTTTACTGATCAGAGGTCAAAGACTTTACAAATAATATATTAACAAAGCATTTAAAAAAACCCACATAACTGGGCACGACTTTGTGAGGTCATCTAATTCATCCTTACTGTAATGAGGCAGGATCAAGTATACCTCAACCATTACTGACAGATATTTGTCTTAAAAACCTCCAGAAGGAGATGCCAGGAGTTAGCCTGATCTACTGCTTCACTACCATTACAGTTTAAAAGGTTTCTGTTTTATTCTCTTTTCTAGATAATCTATTATCATTCTTGTTGCTTTCCTCGGAGTCATTCCAATATGCCTGTATCTGTCTTTCCCAGTCTTCCAGGAATTCTAAAAGACAATTGCTTATAGTTCAGAGATTGTTTCAATGAGTTCCTTAACTGCCCAAAGTGAATTTCATTGGTCCCTGCCACTTCGAACATATTGAAACATTCTTTTGTCTGTTCAGTTCCTATTGTGGTCCATGCTCGTACCCCCTTTTCAGATAATGTGGTCAAATACCTGGTCACATTTAGCCTTATTAATGAAGACTAAAGCAAAGAAGTTCTTGAATATCACAGCCTTCTCTACTTCATCTTTTGTTTGCTGTCCTTCCCTTTTTTTTCATTCTTCTTATAATATATGTATAGGATTGTAACGGATGCCCTGTCCCCTTAAAGAAAAGACAGCTAGTTAAACTGAAGGGCTGCAAAGGGTTGAGGGGAGGCTAAGGAGGGCATGGTTGACTGGGAATTAAAAACCCTCCACAGGCAGAACCAGGGGGTGGAGTGGAGGAAAAGCACCAGAAGCAGGAAACTTCTTTAGCAGGGCAAATCTGGGAAGGAAGACTGAAGCTACAGTGGATCCATCTCAGGGGCTGGACAATAAGGTTTCTCTTTGCTTATTCTGTTTGGTGAAGGACTGTCTACAATGGGCAGGTGGAGAGGCTTTTCAGGCAGCAAAGGCCAGCAGGGTTGAGCAACTGCATCATACTCAGGCTGCTGAGACACCATCAGGGGAGGGCCAAAGCCTGCTTGAAAGGCATGTTGCCTGAGGCAGCAACCTGCTAGGAGGATCTTTTCTTACTGCCTTTTATATCATTTGCAGTTGTAACTCATAATTCAGTTTAGCTTTTCAGAAATTCACACCGGTTTCTTCTGATCTTACCTTTATAGGATTTCAGGAATGTGCCATTCCTTTTTACTTATCTTTTTTCCTGTGTCCTCATTTTCATTTTGTTTCTGATTCCTCCTTTGATTTTTCAAGCCCTTAAGAACTCCTTATGCACCAAAGAATGCAATTTTGACTCAACCTTCTAGCTGCAGGACTCCAGTGTCTCCCTGTGCCCCAGGAAAACTGGAGACCTCTCTGCTTTCTGGGCAAAGCATGCATCATCCATTGGATTTTTGGGGAGCCCACATTGCGTTTATAACTTCCTGTCCCCTCCCTGCCCCCTCAAAAAGGTGCATGCATTTACCAGACTAAATTTTTTTCTTGATCTAATTAAGATTATTAGAATATGTTTATCCTTTCAGACATCCCTAAGAAGCTGTCTCTCACTTAATTTCCTCCACAGTAAGAAATATCCTTCCTTTTCCCAGGTGCTGTACATCTTAGGGTTTCTCCTTTTAAAATGTTCCTTTCAAATCTTTTTCTAAGATGTCATTATCTGGAAGCACTTACTCATAAGTAATACACTCCTGCCAGATGGTCATTCTAAGCTAGTGGTTTTCAACTTCAGCTAGCGACTCGTGACTTCAAGTTTCAACTAGTGAGAGATGACAGGGATAGGCTGAAGTACTAAATGCTTTATTCACCTCAGTCTTAACAGGCATGGTCAGCTCCCAGACTACTACACCTGGCAGCATGATTTGGGGAGGAGGTAACCAGCCAACAGTAGCAAAAGAACGGGTTAGGGACTCTTTAGAAAAGTGGGATGTGTAGAAGTCTATGGGGCCAGACAAGAAGCATCCGAGGGTGCTGAGGGAGTTGGCTGATGTGATTGCAGAGTTGCTGGCCATTATCTTTGAAAACTCATGATCAGGGGAGGTTCTGGGTGATTGGAAAAGAGCAAATATAGTGCCCATCTTTAAGAAAGGGAAGAAGGAGGATCCAGGGACCTACAGACCAGTCAGCCTCACCTCGGTCCCTGAAAAAAATCATCGAGCAGGTCCTCAAGAAATCCATTTTAAGCACCTGGAGGAGAAGAAAGTGATCAGGAACAGTCCACATGGATTCACCAAAGGCAAGTCATGCCTGACCAACCTGATTGCCTTCTATGATGGGATGACTAGCTCTGTCAGTGGGAAAAGCAGTGGACATAATATACCTTGAATTTAGGTGTGCTTTTGATATGGTCTCCTACAACATTCTTGCAAGCAATCTAAGGAAGTACAGGCTGGATGAATGGTTTATAAGATGGATGGAAAACTGGTTGGACCCTTGAGCTCAAAGGGTAGTAACCAATAGCTTGATGTCTACTTGGCACCCAGTATCAAGTTAAATGCCCCAAGGGTTGGTCCTAGGGCTGGTTTTGTTCAATATCTTCATCAGTGACCTGGAAGATGGGATGGAGTGCACCCTCAGCAAGAGACCAAGCTGGGGAGAGTAGTAGACATACTAGAGGGTAGGGTTAGGATTCAGAGAGACCTCAACAAATTGGAGGATTGGACCAAAAGAAATCTCATGAGGTTCAACAAGGACAAGTGCAAAGTCCTGAACTTAGGATGGAACAATCCCATGCACCGGTACAAGCTGAGTGGTTAAGCAGCAGTTCTGCAGAAAAGGACCGTTACAGCAGACAATAAGCTGAATATAAGCCAACAGTGTGTCCTTGTTCTGAAGTAGGCTAGGAGCATACTGGGCTGCATTAGTAGGAGCACTGTCTGCAGACTGAGGGAAGTGATTTTTCCCCTCTATTCAGCACTGGAGTGGGGCTATATCTGGAGCACAGTGTCCAGTTTTGTGCTGAGGAGAGGGCAATTAAAATGGTTAAGGGTCTGGGGTACATGATTTATTAGTAGAGGCTGAGGGACAGTGGCAATGCATAGGGGGTGCACAGGGGTGTACGTGCATCCCCTGAATGTGCTGGTGCACCTCCTGACAGATAGAAAAACAAGGAGCAATGGTCTCAAATTGAAGCAAAGGAGGTTTAGGTTGCATATTAGGACATTTTTTCTCACTAGGAGTGTGATGAAGCACTGGAACGGGTTACCTAGAGAGGTGGTGGAATCTCTATCCCTGCAGATTTTTAAAGCCCACTTTTATGAAGCCCTGGTTGGGATGATCTAGTTGGGGCTGGTCCTGCTTTAAGCAAGGGGTTGGAGTAGATGATTTCCTGAGGTCCCTTTCAACTCTAATTTTCTATGATTCTGTGTGGTGGAATTTCATGGCTTTACTTTTAAAAGTAGGATTAATACACATTAGTAAAGGAAAATAATGTAAAAATTAGAAAAAGACAATGTTAGGATTGCTTGTGTAAGAATCAAGAACTCTGTGGCTTTATGATGAACTAAGGAGAAATATTGAGCAGCTTCCTTCATCTTTTTGCACAACACATCCTTTGCATTGATGCCCAGATCCAGAAAAGCATTTAATCATTTAATTCATTTTAAGCAGGTTCATAAGACCTTTACTGAATCAGGGCCTCAATGTTTATGCCAGGTACTGCTTTCTTGGCCCTCAGGTGAACAAAATGCTTGAAGCACGCACTTAACTTTAAACATATGCTTAAGTACTTTTCTAGTTGATACTCAAGGAAGATAGGTGTACCTTCAAAGTGGCAGAGGTAAGTCTATATAGGCAATTTTAATTGTGTCAATTCCTGACCAAGTTCTTTTAATGTCATATTCTTGTATAGAAAACCAAACCAATAAAATTATTCCCACTGTAATCTTGAGATGCTAATATCAATATGTATGAACTGCCACTGGCAATACCTAATACAGTAAATCTTAGAACAAATTAACCAGTCACCCTGAGTATTCTTTAATTTCTGTTTCTCTGCAGATGAAAATGGCAAATAAATGCTGTACTCCTGCAGACCAGGTAAGATTTTAATGATATTGTAGATTAAACATTTACCATTAACTAATTAAAAATTACTGGAAAATATTCTGCATCCTTGCAGTTGTGTTAAGGTGCAAATCTTTGGAGCTACATGTAGATGCATACTCAGATGCCAGGTTCTAAATACAGATTTCCTGCAGGCAAAACTTCTTTTAGCTTCTGAGATGTCCTTCTTAATATAGTAGATCTCACTAATCCATATTCATGACTGGAAGCCCCATTTCAAAGAATCGCAGGGGAAAGAACAAATGTAGTAGCACAAACGTAAGACTTTTGTTCATTTATTTTGAAAAGTATAAATTTGGTTTTTTTCATCATAATTCTCTACTTGTTAACATTCTGGTAAATATATTGTATTCTATATTGTAAATGGAATGAAGACTTGACAATTTGAGCCATCATTACTGCAGCCTGATATTAAGTCACTACTAAAAATTGGAGGGAAACCACAGCTTGGCCTTTAAGAGACACATTAGCTTTGCATATTAGTAAAGTGAGAACTAGCAAGCCTGTACTTTCAAACATGTATCAGTTTAATATGGAAGTAAGTTAAGGGTGCTTGCAGACATAAAAGAAAAAAAAAGAAATGGTGCTTTACTTTAAACTTGGTGTGTTCCTACCCCGAGACCCACGCACACCCTGAAGAGACACTGCATTACCTTAACCTGGCTCTGCAGCATTTGTAAAGATTGGGTGCTTGTGTAGGGCTTTTTTGGGGGCACTTTTAGCTAACAGCTGATTGAATCAGCTGTTAGCTAAAAGTTCCAAAAAACCCTGCTGAAGTGCCCGATCTTTATGGATGCTGCAGGGCCAGGTTGAAGTAATGTGCTACTTCTTCCAGTAAAGTGTGGGTATTTCGAGGGAGGGGGGCTTAAAACATGTGCAAGCAGCCTATTATTCTAAATTGAATTGTATTGGAATCCAGAGCTGACTCTAAATCCCATTTTAATCCTGTTTGAATAAATACTAGCATTTATTATTAATTTGGCAGTTCATACATTAGTTCACTGTTTACTTATTTTTCTTTTTTGAATTCTGTAATGTTGCTGGGAGGTTTAAAGCATCTCCTGGGAGGTTTCCCTGTTCCTTAAGTTCAGCATTAAACAATTTAATATAAAGAAATTATAAGTAGCATAAAAAAAATAATAGAAACAATATAAGTCACTAGTTAATTTTCCACTACTGATTTGTAAATATTTGAAGACAAGAAGAGATATGTAAGACTCATTGTTTGGAGTACTGACATATATGTTTTATATATTTATATTTATATAGATGGATAGATATAGCAGATCAAATATCAGTTATATGATATATGACAATATAATACACATTGTTAAAGAAGTAGAAAATATTATTTGATTAATATTATTATATATAATTTGTTGTCAGCCTGTGGGGATTGTATGAATAATAAATCTTATTACCAACTGGGTGTACGTTTCTACTTTCTGGTTACAATATGTACCTGGATTCATTTTTATGTATGCATGTATGTGCTAAAATAAAACAAATTCTGTCTGTACTGCACTGCACCTTATTATATGACAGACTGAATTAGAAAATCCAGTTTTCATTACATTAATTGGTAAATAGAACCTGGCCACCTTTTATTTGTTAAATTGCTACTAAGATTAATTAGTGAAAGTTAGTGCAATTAACATTTAGTTTTACTAAAGGGGCCAGCAAGACTAGAATAGCATAATATAATTGAAAACATCCAAAGGGATAAAGCAATAAGGTAAAGTTAAGAAAGAGACTGACTTGCAAGTGATCCATTTCATAATCTTAATTTTATGCCCATGATTTTATATATATTTTTAAAGTTTTTTCCCGCGTGCGGTTTTTGACAGGAAGTTGTTGTTTCCATTAAAGATAGGCTCAAATTAATTTCAGAAGCAGAAAAATCTAAGGCATATTTGTCAGAAAACTTGAAGGCAAAGGTTCTCTGCTGAAAAGAAAAACAGATTATATAAAACTTGTTAAGATAAAGTGAACAAACATTACTGTGACTTTGAAATGTCTTGTGAAATTGTGCCCTAAAGATATGTTCAACCACATATGACACTCTTGTGTACATTTCACAAAGGAATAGGGGTATTTAGGATCGGAAAGTAAACTTTGTAGCAATAAGGAAAAACAGAAGAGGATTTGAGCAACATAAGATTAATGGAACCTATTAGTGTCAAAATTACATAATGTGTACAGATTCATAATGTGTACATGGATCTGTACTGTTCTTGTTAATGCAGTGTGTATAGAAAGGAATAAAATGTACAGGGTAGATTTTTTGGAGGTAGTGAAAAAGTATCACTGAAAAAGTCAGTGGCAGATTAAGATTTATTGGGGCCCTGGGCAAACAGAAAATCGGAGGCCCCCCACACCCCGTTATAAACACGATACATTCATGAATGTATTTTGCCACTCCTCCCCTGCAGCTGGGCCCCAGGTCCCAGGAACTGGACTCCAATGGGGCAGAAGGGCCCTTTCCCTTCCTGGTGCTGCTGCTGCTGCCAAAGTCAGGGTGGGCCTTCATTACATGCAGGGGAGGTTAAATGGACCCAGCTAGGCTGGGAGTGGGGTGGGCTGGGGTGGCACATGCCCACCTCTCCTCCCTGCACCCCCTGCCCCACCACAGTCAAAGCAAAGCAGTGGTTTTTACTCTCATTAGACTCAAACCACCCCTTACCCCATGTCAGCTCTTAGTTTTCACATTTTTTGCCTATGAAAAATAATTGAACAATTATTCTGTTGCAAAGAATTCAGAAAGACCACAGCAGGGCAAAATGTTTTTGGCCCTATGGATTCCTATTTGAAATGTCTGAGTTTATCTTGTGAGTCACATGTAGATGTCTGCATACCTAACAGTGCTAATATTGTGCGACACTGTGCCACAACTTTAAAACCATCTTCCAGCAGTCCAGAGTGCTGTGGCACCCTGCTTAAGAATTGCTCAACGAGAGATTAATGCTTTCACAGCAAGGTGGACTCAGGGAGTATATACTTAGGTACCTCGGAAGGTAGACACACTATTTCTGTTGTATAAGACATCTGGACGGTATGGTCCTACTGTCCAGAGAAGTTGTTGATAAGGGAGTAGGAGCCACTGTGGGGTCCCATTGCTCTCGACTTTAGTTAATGCTACAAATCTACCATCTTGCTATGGTCCAGCATCAGCAAGCAGAGACCATCAAACAGAGAAGGAGTTTGTCTAGGGAAGTGGGAGCCAGGAAGCAGGAAGTTCTGTGTTTTGTGTGTGTGTGTGTGTGTGTGTATACGCACATGCATGTGCCTGCATGCAAGAGCACAATTGTGTGCATGTATGCAGGAGTGTGGGAGTCTTGTGGGCGTTTTTTGTTTGTTTATAGCTTATGTGTCCTCCAAGGAGCAAAGGAGGCATAAATGGAGGCTGGATAAGCACTTGTGACCTGTGTGGGATGTGCCATGTTTGTGTTCTTTTGAGAGAGTCAATACCATTTAATCTCAGCCAAGTATAAACTAGTATCTGCTTTGAAGGATAAGATTATAAGACTGGAAGCACACATAACCATGCTGTGTCTTATCAAGGAAAATGAAGATTACGTGGATAGCTGTTATGAGAAGCTAGCACTTGGAGCCAAAGGGAAAAGAGGGAAAGAAGTCATGTGTGGCTGCTAGAAAAAAGAGGGTTCCCAGAATTCAAGAGCAAGAGATTGAAGTCATTAACCACTTCCAAGCACTCTGTAATGGAACACCTGAGGAAAAGGCAGAAGAGAGGACATTAGAAGGCATGATGCAGAGGACTTAGCAGTCTAGAAAGCAGAAGCGCAGGGCCCCAGGGATACAGGCTTTCAGACTACTGCACCATGAAGGAAGACAATAGTGGTGGCATTTGATGGCTGCACAGAAGCACCAATTTGTTAATCAGAGTTGGGGCCCTGGAAGATGTGCCTGGAGCCTGGATTCAGGATGTCACAGAAAGACTTCCAGACCTTATCTATCCTGCAGACCTTTTCCTACTCTTCCATGTTGGCACAAACTATACTGCTAGGAATGACACCAAGCAGATCAGAGTTGAATACAAGACACTTGGGCAGGAGGGTTAGGGAGCTTGGAGCACAAGTAGTATTCACATCTGTCCTCCCCATGGAAGGAAAGGGTCTAGGCAGAGACATTGTATCAAAGATCCTTTGAAGACAGGTGGATGTTATAGGGAGGAGGACTTATATCAAAAGATGGCATTCATCCGATCACAACTGGAAATAGAATTTGTGGTTGTTGCCTGGAGTTCTTGACACTAAGTTCCTGAGGGGATTGTGAACAAAACCCTCCAGCAACAGAGCAAACAGTCCAGAGGGGAAAAGTACCAGAAGAAGCATCTCAACTCTGGGATAGGGCCAGTGAGCCATGGGCAGCAACAAGTGATGCAGAAGGGAAACCAGTAGGTTGAAATGCAAAATACATCTTCTGTATGCATACAAATGAAATAAGTATGGGGACAAACAAGAGCTGCAAGTTGTAGCCTATGAAAAGAAGTTATATGACTAGTATGACAGAGACCTGAGTAAAACATCAACATTGAAATTTACATTCTGTTTTGGAAGGATAGGGTTCGGAGAAAATGTTATGGTGTTGGCAAGTATGTCAAAAATACTTTAACTTATTCCTTGGATAGAGAATAAGAAGGGTGCAGATCACAATGCATTTGGGTGAAAATAAAAGGTGACATACAGTGCCAATATAGCAGTAGGGGTTTATTATAGCCCACCAAGTCAGAAAGAAGAGGTGGACAAGAAATTTCCAGGATGTAACAAAATTATCCAAAAGCTGTCAGACGGTACCAATAGGAGACTTCAATTTTCTGGACATCTGCTGGAAAAACAATGCAGCCAAACATAACATGTCAAGCTGGTTCCTAACCTGTGTGGGGGACAACTTTCTACTCCAGAAGGTGGAGGATACAACTAGGAGATCATCTATCTTGGATCTTGTTTTGACTG